CTACCACTGCAAGGCCACGTGGCGGACTATCACAGAGCCCAACCTCTGCTGGGTCGCCTGGCTCAAATCTCGCTTGGGAACGAAGCTCACGTCGTCCCAAACCTCTGCTCGCAGAGTAGCCAGCGTCCAAGTGCGTCTGCAGGTCGGCACACGCACACTCAGACAAGGGAGGGGGCTTCTCCGTCTCATACTCGTCCTCCTCATTTCCTCTGGCGTCCTCCTCTCCCTCGCACCTCCTCTCTGGGAACCTGCTTCTCTGACCCAGTCCTGCCAGCAGCTCGCTTCCTCCGTGGACCGCTCCGCCCCCGTGCCCTGTGGCACGTCGAGGCGTGGTGGAGTGCCAGGAGAAGGCGAGCTCAGGCTCGAATCGACGAGTCGGATCGGCGATCGAAATGAACCGAGTCTGCGAACATCGGCAGCCAAGTCGGGAACCATCGAATCGGCAGGAATCGGCAGGCCCGTAGGCCGTTACTTTGAAATCGGAACCCAGATCGGAATCCAAAGCCCAATCGAATCGGAATCGGAGGCCATCGACATCGAATCGAATCGGAGGAATCGAAATGAGCCCTGCAGGAGCTGCCTGGTGGAGCTTCTGCAGAAAGCCTGCTGAGGTCTGTGCCTCCACCGTCTCGTGACGCGTTCCCGAGTCCGTGAGCGGCAGGACGCCCTCGAGGGACTCTCCGAGGGCATCCCGCTCCGCGCGCCGCGCTGCGCGGAGCGCAAAGTGCGAGCAACTTCGCCCTCGCGCCGCCTCCCGGGGGAGAAGAGGAGGATGAGAGGAGGAATCGGAGCCGAACCGCGAGGCGCGAGGCGCGAATCACGTCGCGCCCTCGAGGGCGCCCTTGCTCTCCCAGGCTTCCAAGACGGCGGCACCCCTAAAGAGAACCCCAAAGGGGAGCCGCAGCGGGGCCCCCCGAGAGGCCCCCCAAGGGCGCCGACGGGGAGGCCGAGAGGCTCCGCGAGACTTCCAGCATAGTCGAGGCGTTGACCTAAGGAACCCTGAATAAGGAACGAGGCCCCTTTTTTCCATAAGTGAACCTTCGGTCTCCTGTCGAAGACATAAGGAAAGCCTGAGGCAAGCTGCGAAACACTTAAGGAACGCGGAGCCCCTCCCCAACGAAAAGGGTTCCTTCTTCAGGGCCCCGACTGCACGTCAACATCGAGGAAACCAATACATCCGCCGGCCTCCTCGTGGGGCCACCAGGCTGTAGGCCTAGGTTGCTGCTCCCTGCGCCAGTGGCAGAGTCAAGTCTCCAATGTTGCAATCCTGGTTTCTGCCTCCTACTGTAAATTGTTGAAATCCGCGCGAAGGGGGGGGAGCCCCAAACCGGCAGTTTACCACCCCCGAACTGTGTGCTCTGAATTTCCAGGGGTGGGGGCGTGGGACACGTGACAGTGCTTGAGATTCGAGCCCCCGAGGCCATCATCCTTCGACAGTTCTTCAATGTTCGCGTCCCCCAGGCCACAACACATCGTAGATAAAACAAGTGTTTCGTCCCCGAGGCAATCAGCCCTCGTAAATTACGCGGTAGTCGCGCCCCCGAAGCCATAATCCATTGAACATGAAACAAAATTCGCGTCCCCGAGGCCACAAAGCCTCGCAAATTACGCCGCGCTCGCATTGCCGAAGCCACGAGTGCTCCCAGGCGGACGAAGATGGTTCCGAGACGGCCCAAGATGGCCCCAAAGAGGCCTCCCGAGAGCGCCCCCAGAGGCCAGAATCGTTGCTCTTACGCAGGTTGTTGAAGGATGTTGGCCTTCTCTCCGTTGCGGCTTCCCGACGCTCCACGACGGCTCAAGAAGCCCCAAAGACCGCCCCGAAACAGCCCAAGACGCCTCCAAGAGGGCCCCAAGGCAGCCCAAGAGGGCTCCAAGATGGCCCAAGAAGCGTTCCGAGAAGCCCCGAGAAGTCCCCAGGAGGCCCCAAGAGGCCGCCAAGAAGCCCAAAGAGGTGCCCAAGACGCGCCCAAGAGGCCTCCAAGAGGCCCAGAAGATACCCCACGAAGCCCCAAGAGGCACCCAAGAGGTGCCCAAACCGCCTTCAAGAGGCCCCCGAGAGGCTCCACACGACACCCCAACACATGTACAAGAGGCCTCAGACCCGCAACCCAGGCACGGTGGCGGGATGGGCCAAAGCCACTCGGATCCGCCGCCCCCTGCTTGCAGGGGTGCACGGCGTGCTGGACGAGCTGTTAGGTTTTGGTTTTGGTTCTTTTTCCAAAAGAACTCCCCCAGTGGGCTCCGGCCCGTCCCGCCGGGGTCCCGGGCGGAAGCCGAAAACACCTCAATCCGGAAAAAAATCCTCCAACAACGGCCGTTTCGCTCGGGACATCCTCAAAAAATCGCGAAGATGGCCCAAGATGGCCTCCAAGTCCGCCCGAGATGGTCCAAGACGGCCTCCAAAACGGCTCAAGAGAGTCCAAGACGGCCCAAGACGGCCCAAGAGGCCCCCCAGAGGCCTCCCAGACGGCCCAAGAGGCCTCCAAGAGGTCCTCCAGGAGAGTCCGAAGAGGCCAAAATCATTGATTTTCCCTTGGTTTTTGAAGGATTTTGGCATTTGCGCCTTTTCGGCTCTCCGACGGCTCAAGACGGCCCAAGAAGCCCCCAAGATCGCCCAAGAGGCCCCCAAGAGAGCCCCCTGATGGCCCAAGTGGCCTCCAAGATGGCCCCTAGAGGGCCCCAAGACGGCCCAAGAGGCCTCCAACACGCCCAAGATGGCCTCCAAGACGCCAAGATGGCCTCCAAGACGGCCCTGGAGCGCCCCAAGAGGGTCCCCCGTTGGCCCAGAAAGGCCCCCAAAACGGCTCCCGACGGCGTCAGACGTGCCAGGAACCCACCAAGATGGCCGAAGTTGGCTCGAAGCTGGCCCAAAAGGGCCCAAGAGGCCCCCAAGAGGGCCTCCAGGAAGGCCAAAAGATGCCAAAATCACTGATTTTCCCAAGGTTTTTGATGGATTTGGGCATTTCCCTTTTTTCGGCCTTCCGACGGCCCGAGACGGCCCAAGAGCCCCCAAAGATCGCCGAAAGATCGCCCAAGAGGCCTCCAAGACGGCGACGATGACCATCAAGACGCCCACGTGTTCCCCGAAGGCTTTCCAAACCGATTCGGGGAACACATGGTCCGATGGCTTGGCAGGTCTGGCCTCAACGTTCGGCCACATAGGCGCTTCCACAAAGGCAGGGGGCGGCGGTGATTCGCCGTAGGCGTCTTCGATAATGCCAATGTCTCAATATGCGCTGTTGATTCCTATCCGGCCCCCACATGATGTTCCCAAATTCGCCAAAGCAGCGCCGAGACGCACCGACGCGACTCTGATATATCCCATTATGATAGAGAGGGGGCCGGTGGCAGGGGGCGAAACCCTTACGGATATGTGGACGTCCGCATGCTATCGAATATGTTGAGATCCTTGTATCCAAGATGATCCTAATGCGGCCTAGGAGGAGCCAGAGACAGGCCCCCAAGACAGCCTCGAGATATCCCCCAGGCAGCCGAGAGGGGAGTCCTCATGTGGGTCTGGACGGATCCGTCCGCGAGGCGTCAGGTCCTTTTCAAGCCCAGGTTGCTCCAACATGGCCCCTGATAGACTTGGACGGCCTCCAAGATGGCACAAAACAGTCCAAGTTGGAACCAGATGGCCTCCAGCATGCTTCCATCAGCCTCTAATGCGGCCAAGGTGGCTCGAGGTGGCTATAGAGCCTCCAAGGGATGCCCCCGAGAGGCCACAATCCTTCAAACGCAACTGCGCTGTCGGTTCTCTCGCCATGCCGCGTTCGACGGGCTTCCGAGGCCTCGAGATGACACCAAGAGAGGCCCAACGCTGCCCAGAAGAGCTCCAAGATAGCCTCGCCCCGGCAGCGTCCCAGGAGCGCCCCGGGAGGGCTCACACGGGGGGGGGGGCGTGTTGAAGCAATACATCCTGTTTGGCCGATGGCATCCAAGAAAACCACGAGACCACTCCGAAAAGGCACCCGCGAGGTGACAGCACGAGCGGGAGATGGACCCGAGGGAAATCCAAAAAGCCAGGGATGAGGGAGCAGCTTCCTGGATGGGCTGGTGAGGATGCGCGAAGCCGCTACTACTCAACTAAGCTTGCCGCCCACGAGCAACTCTTACTGCTCTTCCTGTTGATCCTCTATTACCCCCCTCCCCCTCCTCCTCCTCCGCATCCTCCTCCGCTTCCTCATCCTCATCATCGTCGTCACATCACCATCGGCATCATCAGCAACATCAGCATCGCCATCATCATCACCATCATCATCATCATCATCATCATCATCATCATCATCATCGTCATCATCATCATCATCATCATCATCATCATCATCATCATCATCATCATCATCATCATGCGCATCGACATCGTCATGATCAACATATTCACCATCCTGATCGTCATCATCCTGATAACCCGTATCGTCATCACAATCAACATCATCATCGTCGTCGAAGTCACCGTGGTCACCATAAACATTCCCAGCATCGCCACCATCTTCAACACAATCATCAAAATCCTCAGCATCACCAGCTTCATCGCCATCGCCATCGCTTTTGTCATCGTCGCATTCATCGCCACCATCATCATGATCAGCATCCTCAGCATCATCGCCATCACTACAACCATAGGCATCAATTGCATCGTGAGCATCATCATCACCAACATCAGCATCATCAGCAACATCATCAGCATCGCCATCATCACCATCAGCAACATTATCATCACCACCCGCAGCATCATCCTCGTCATCATCACCATCACCATCATCATCACCATCACCATCACCATCACCATCACCATCATCATCATCATCATCATCATCATCATCATCATCATCATCATCATCATCATCATCATCATCATCGTCGTCAACATCGCCGTCAACATCGTCAGCATCAACACCGTCATCATCAGCAGCATCATCATCGCCACAATCGTCATCCTCATCCTCATTATCCTCACCATAAACATCATAGCCAACAACCTCTATCATTCATACCGTCATCACCAAACACATCAGCGACATCATCATCCGCATCATCATCGTCATCACCATCGTTACCATCACCATCATCATAATCAAGATAACCAGCAACATGATCTTCACCAGCAGCAACAACGACAGCGTCAGCATCATCGCCAACATCGTCATCATGATCGCCACATGTTGCACCAGCATCATCATCAGCATCATCACTAACCTCATGGTAATCATCATCATCGCCACCCGCATCATCATTATCATTGTCGTCGTCCTCCTCCTCCTCTCCGTCTTCACCACCACCACCACCATGGCCATGAACATCACCATCAACATCGCCCTCCTCCTCCTCCTCCTCCTCCTCCTCCTCTCCCAAACCCTTTCCGTAATAATCCACCAAAGGGATGTGTTACGACCGCCGCTTGCGTAAAACAAACG